GTGCACAGAGTGAACGTGAAAGGCCATATGAGGAAAAAAATCCTAAAGCTATATGTTCCATCCCGTCTACACGTCGCTCCAATCCTATTCCATCCCGCTCACACTTTTAGTATAGCTAGCGGGTAAGTTTTTTTCAAAGATTAGACGTTTTTATTCCGATTTTATCCAGCATTCTTTCCAGAAATGTATTCTTCCAAACTCCTTGGTTTTATGTCGAGTTGCAAAATTGCTTGGTTCAGTCTCTTTCAGATTCACTCTGTCATGTATTTCTGCGTAAAACAATAAATTTTCAGGCCTAAAATTGTACAGAACAAATAGAACACATTCCTAGCATAAATTACTTTATCATTTTGCGCTGTGTCCGGATAATTATCAAGAGTACCAAAATGTCGTTAATATTGTATGTGGATGTTTCCACATCCATCCGGCGGGGCACTGCCAAGGCTTTAGTTGCATTACCTAAAATACAGTAGCATTTCAAAGTTCTGGTTCAACATATGAGGGACTCCACATTTTTATGCGTTTTTCCATACATGCAAATTGCAAAAAAGCATGTTTCAACGACCCTGTCTATGTGTATGTGTGTGTTCGTCTGTCCAGGTATTTCAACTCGGCAACCAGCCAAGCTTCGGCGCCAAAATTTTGCTGGTTGGTTCCCGGCCAACTGCCACTGCGGTACCGCAATGCCAATCCTCTGCACGTCTGGGCTTCGCGTGCGGACGCGTAGGGATTTTGACGGGAAAACTGCCAACTAAACTCGGGCATGAGAAAAGCTGAAAAGCTGGAATTTTGAGGGAACGTTCCTTACTCATGAGCGACTAAAAGGTTTTAAAATGCAACTCTTCTAGTGGGGTCTTTTTCGCGCACCAACAGCCTTCCACTTATTGGGTCACTGAAGCCGGCATCTATAACTGACACGCTACATAGATGCGTGGTTAACTTTCTGAACTTCAGTGGTCCGTATGTCACAAATACTAGCTACTTTGATTCTTTGCGACCTTGCTGCAGCACGAAAAATTGCAAAAACGCACGATCGCTCAGGCTCTCCTAGTGAGTTCCAGCCTGAGTTAGCTTTCATTCGGGCTCAAATAATGTCTTTTCTCA